AGCTGCTTACCAACATCCATGTCTTCCTCTCCTACCTGAACACACAGCTGGACCACATTTCCTAGCCTCCCTCCCGTGTAACTAGATGTGGCCACGGGACTGAATTCCAGCCGGAGGAATGTGAGAAGAGTGATATGTGCTATTTCTAGGCCTGGCCCGTAGAAACGTTCCGTGCCTGCTTCTGCGTGCCCCTCCACGCTCTTTCCCCGGCTCAGATAACTGGAATGGCAATTCTCAGGGCCACCTCGGAAGTCATAGTTGAAGCTGGAGGAGCCTCCATCACCCCGGGTCCCTGAAAAGCTTCCTGGAAACGAGTCACCCCACCAACTTGTTTACCCACCCAGGCCTATCACTTTAACAAGAAGTAAACCCTTCTTGTGTTTTACTCCTTATTTTTCAGTCTATTCGTTAGAGCAGTCATCTGAGCATTACCTTAATAGAGTGCCCTTCATTATCAATGTGAATAATAATAAACAGAGCAGAGCATTACCCTAATACAGTACCCTTCGTTAATGTGGACAATAATAAATAACTCCACTTACAAGTGCAGTAATTCAGCCCAGGGAGATACCATCCACGTCAAATACCTGGGCTTCACAACCTTGCTCAAACTTCCCCCAACTTGACAGACTGGACAACCCCCTCACACCTGTACACCCCATGCAGGGAGAGATTCTCAAAGGTAGGGACTGGATATCACCTTTGATCCTTACTGCAGCCTGGCACATAGTAGGTGCTCGAGGAAAGGGTGGATAAAAAATTGAGATGCTGAAAAGATGAGCAGAGAGGGATTTCTGGCCAATCATCTCTTCCGTGCTTTGTGGTATGGAACTCTGGAGTTTTGGGTGGGTAAAGAAGTTGAGAGGATTTGTTACCAGTATTATACAGTTTAATGATTTGTCATTAAACTGTATAATACATACAGTATAATACAACATTATACTCAATTATATTCCAATATAAAATAAAATTTTAAAAAATGCTAAAGCATGTTCTTCACAATGAAGGGAAATGACAACAGATAGAAACTTGGATAAGAATTACTCCTGGGACTTCCTGGTGGTCCAGTGGGTAAGACTCCAAGCTCCCAATGCGGGGGGCCCGGGTTCGACCCCTGGCCGGCGAACTAGACCCTGCGTTCCACAACTAATAAGTCCACGTGCCACAACTAAGATCCAGTGCAGCCAAAATAAATATAAATTAATAAATTAAAAGTATTGCACCTGATGGAAGAGTGCATCACTTTCTCACACAGGCGAGGAAAAGAGATTGTGAGCCATTGGTCAAAATGGACTATTAGCCTCTAAGTTTTCTATCTGCTGTAAGCCACAACTTTTCAAATTAGAGGTTTAACCCAATAGTTGGTTATCTAGTGGTTTGAAAACAGCTTTTTTTTTCAATATAATGGAATAGAATGGACGAGAAAAGAGTAAAACAGAAACACCTCTTTAAAAAAAGAAACAAATTAGAAACAATATAATAAATGCCCACATGAAAAGTAGTACTTTCTGAAAAGCTATTAATGAAACTACAGCCCATCCTGCTAGGCAATGTCTTATATGTCACACAAATACCACTGTGGCATTCTTCTTAAACTTTAATGTTGATGAACTAATCTCCTTTTCTTAGGCAATGAGACCCACAGAACTTACTCTCTCTTTTCTGTTCTGCCTGTCAGGAGGCTCATAGGTAAGTCTTCACTCAACAACAGGACCTATTCTTTTCTAGGTTTTGGTGCTATAACAATATGTCCCTAATCTTTCATTATTTGGCATTTGCTAATTTATCTTTGATTTAAGTTTTATTGCATCTAGGTTTTCCTTTTTTGTAATAGTTACTGATATAGGCAAGAATAAAAATGGATTAAAAAGGAGTTAGGGTGAAGAATAATTACCAAAATATTAAAAACAGGTATTTTATTGATTTGCATTTAATTTTTTTTCACAATGGGCTTGTATCATTACTTTTTAGTTTTTAAGCTATTTTAACTAGTTAATGATGAACAATAGGCTAGAAAGTGGGAATTATCCCTTGGTCAGTGGACCAGTCAGAAGATGCAAGGGTGCTTTATACCTGTGTTTGCTACACAGAGAGAGGATCTGACCCTGGATCCTTGTGAGAATTGCCATCCTTTCGTAGTTTCAGCACAAGTTAACCTAGATGGAGAGCTGTCAGCCAGACAGACTTATAAATTATTTCCTTAAGAGTTTCTGGAGGAAGGGCAGGGTTGTCAGAAGGAGCCTAAGAAAGATCTCTAGTACATCTTGAAATGCCTGAAGTATGGACAGGGCTAATTTCTTTGGTTTGGTCTAAACAAGCCCAGGTTTGATCCTGGTTCCTCCTTCTCATGTCCAACAACAGTGGACGTGGTTGCTACACTACTAGGATCAACTTAGGGCCCCTAGAATCCTGACAGGCCACTGTGTGCCCTTGTTGATCCTTGTAGCTCCAGTACTGAGTGTAGTGCCTGGCTCGGCAGGTGTGCTCTGAACTGCTGTGAGCTGCAAGCACAGGTGCGTGATGTGCAGATCCATTGAAATGATCGTGAGCCAGGTGTGCTAGAGCACATCAGACACTGGGCAAGTCCTCTGCCCCCAGTGGGTCAGTCTCTCCCACGTGCCTGTGAGCCACAGATGTGGAACTCAGATAACCCGTGCTCATTAAGTCATGTCCCCGGTGGAGATCACAGTGGCACATTGCCTTAGGAGTTTGGTGATGACAACCTGCCTTCCTGGGCTTGACTCCACTAAGTAAACTAACCATGATGATCCCAGATTGGAAGTCGTGTCAAGGCAAGCCGTGTCTGGATTATGACCACAGCATCACCTACCAGCCTTGCAAAATTAGTGTCTCCCTAAAAGCCCCAGTTCCACCCACATTTCTCAACCACCCCTCCTTGTTGGTATCTACACTCCCTTCTAATGGCCTCTTAAGAACAGAACAAAAGCAACAAGGTGAGGTGGTGGGGAAATGAAATTGAAGTCCAACTTTATCCTTCTCTGATGATTCGGTAGCTAACACAATGTAACAGACATATTTCTTAACCTCTCTGAACCTCAGGTTCCTTGTCAATGAAATGGACTTAACACTGACCCCCAGATTTTGGGGGGAAGCAAAGCACGGTGTCTGGTATACAGGCGATGCTTGATAAATGTTACTCTTCCCTTTCTCTTTGAAAAGTCAAAAACATAGGGCCTGAGTCCCAAGACTCCGTGTGATCTGGTTCACGCTCACCCTCTTCCTCTCCCTCCAGGCACTGGGCTTCCCCCCTATTTTCCGGACAGCCCAAGCACATTGCTGCCCTGGGGTCTTTCGCCACTACTGCCTTTGCTAGATCATTCTCCAGGTGTCCACATGGCTGGTTCTTTCCTTGAATGCAATCTCTGTTTAAACTCCTTCTCGCCAACCACCTGCATACAAACAGAGACCGCTTCTATTTTGTAGCTAGAGGCAAGGTTATCATCTCTAGTGGTCAAGTTTCTGTTCTCCGTGTGCTCTAGGAATCAGGTGCTCATCAAAGAAAATGAAAGACAAGCTCCACTTTAGTCCCCAGTGCCTCCGGCCCCCTAGCTGTGCCCTGTAGTGGAAGAGGGCAGGGAAGGGGCGGAGAGAAACTGGACAGAACCTGAGGCTGGTGTTTGGAACCCATCCCCACTCCTCACACAGCTTTTCCGCCATCAGCCAGCAAAGAGGCCCAGGACCCACGTAGAGGCAACCCAGAGAGCGATGCAGGTGCCCCAAAAGGACCGTCTCAAGTCCTTGGCTCCCAAAATGATGGTGCATGACAGGACACAGTGAGGGGGAGACTGGGCCCTGGACACCCAGCAGCTGAGGCAGGGCTCTAATGTCCGGTCCCAAGCACAAAGCCCGGGCGAGTGCACCCAGCAGCTGAGGCAGGGCTCTAATGTCCGTTCCCAAGCACAAAGCCCACGCAAGTGCAGGGACCCGGAGTCTCGTCATCCTCCAGAAGCGCCCTACCTTGTCTAAGATCTTCCCTCACCTGTCACCTGCCTTTGGGCTGAGACCTAACCTTGCTCAGTGGGAACTTCTATCCCGGACCAGCATCCACATGGTCCCTGGACCAGCATCCACACGGTTCCGGGTGTCTCTTCACACCTGCTCACAAAGTCTCGGGACTGTGGCTGATGCCTACCTTCCAGTCCCTTCTGCCCACCGTTCACGCCAGTGAAGTGGACATCCTGCCCTCGCCGCTCCACGCCTCTCCCACGAGCCACCAGAAACAAGACACCCAACAAAATCCCTTTCCAGGCAAGGTCAACCCTGCCAAACACGTCTTTCTACTCAGGATGATTTGGAGGTGCAGCAGTATCACATCCTGCCCCCCTAAACGCTGCCTCAATTTGCTTTTCCTCTAAAAAAAAAAGTCCTCAGGAAAGTCACGCCTGTGTTTCCCTGCACCCCGAGGTGTAAATGTCCTTCCTGGGGGTGGGTTTGGATGAGGGCTGGAGACTTCCTGCAACTGTGAAGCTGCCCCAGGAATGCAACAGTCAAGTTGCCGAATGTCCTTCCTGGGGGTGGGTTTGGATGAGGGCTGGAGACTTCCTGCAACTGTGAAGCTGCCCCACGAATGCCACAGTCAAGTTGCCGGGGATGAATCTGAATCTCTGTCCTCAGCAGATTGTTTCTGACTTAAACCCTGGGTGTTTGCTTACCATTCAGATGCACTAAACTGAACACCCCCCGACTTAACAAGAAGATAAAGAGATAGGAACTGGTAATTCATCACCAAAAAGCCCCTGCACCAATCTTCTGCCTCTTGTCCTACCTCTTCTGTCCTAGATTGGAAATGAGTGTCCAGGAAAGTGCCCAGGCATCCCTCGCCTTCCCCATCCAGGGAGAAAAGGATCAGCTCTGGAACCACCATTCCAGGTTCACTTGGGGTCACGAATCCCAAGGGGTAAGATGCCATGTCCTTCACTCCCAGCCCCTCTGCCTTCTACAACTTGTCAGGACCAGGGTCCCTGGCAGGGGGGACTCACCGCTCAGCCCGGGGGTGGCCATGGTGCGGGCGCGCAGGGCAGGAAACCGGGACTGTCCCTCTGCTGGGGCTGCTCTGGCGTCTGCACTGGCTTATTCAGTCGCGGGACTAATTCCATCGCAGCTCAGCTCCGCCTGGACGTGCCCGCCCCAGCCTGCTGCCGCTGCCTCCTCCCCCATCCCTCGCCAGCGGCTACCAGGCCTCCCCGGAGCTGCACCCTCGGCGCACCGGCGCTGGTCGCGCCACGTGGAGAAAGGAGCGCGTTCCCGTGGGCCGGTTGAGTCCGGGACACGCCCCGGTTAATGAAGCTGAGGGGCGAGACAGTAAGACCGCTGCTCTCCCCACCCGGGGAGCTGCCTGCTAACCTGGTTCGGGTGTGAGCACTCAGCCCGATTATCTCGTGAACAGTCTGGCTGATTAGCTTCCGATCCCGCCCGGGGAAGCCTGCTTCCCGCCGCCCTGGCCCTGATCGCCTGGGCAGGGGTGGGAGGCTCCCCCGCACGCCTGCCGGCACTCTACCCGCCACCAGCTGTCCCCACCTTTCTCTAGACTAAAAGGCGCAGGAGTGGAGGAATCGTGCCCCCGGGGACAGGAAGAGGGGTTGCAAGAGGCAAGGGGAGGGGCTTGGGGAGGCAAGGGGTTTTAGCAAAGCTTCCCAGGGAGACGCTGGGACCAGCTGAGGAGGTAGATGGTGGAAGCTCCATTCCAGGAAAAAGGGGAGTTCCATCTCTCCGGAATGGCTTTGATACCTAGCCATGGGCAGGGGGATGGAAGAGAAGACCTCCAAAGGGCCATTCTGGATGATGGAATCTACAATTCCAAGACGCCCCCAAGCGAAACAAGTGCATTAATACCAGGGACCCTGAAAATGAAAAGGTATTATGTTAACATTATATGTCAAGTAGGCTCTGAATGACCACGGACTTTCCTATCTCCTATGCTGATAAGGTGGGCTGGTGGGGATTGCTCCCCACTTTATAGATGAGGAAACTGAGGCAGTAAAGGGGAGTCAGGGGCTGAGCAGAAGGAAAACCAAAAGCAGTGTGTGCCAACCTGGGCTGTATCCTGGGCACCAGGAGTAACCATGGCTGACAGGATGTGGACTTCCTCGCCCTCAGCATCCTTCTCAGAGCCTTCCCCAGACGAATTATCTAATTCTAGTAACAAATCTATGAGGGAATTACTGCCTGTGTGCCCATTTCACAGATTAGGAGACCGCAGTGTAAACGGTCAGGCACTGTGCCTCTAAGGACTCTGGTGCCTGCTCCAGAGTCTGTGCTCTAACACTTGGTTCCTGGCTGCTTGAGGCAACAGCCTTCTCCATTCACTTCTGGGAACCCTTCTCTACGTGCTTTCAATGCCAAGAGGATTGGAAACCTTTCCACCATGGTGGCTCCTTATCCATTCCCTCTCTTCTCTCTCTCCAGCACTTTTTTAGTCCCTTGGTCCCTGCATACCTCTCCCTTGAGACTCCCTCTAAGACTCTCACTTTGGGGACTGTCCCATCTGGTCTAAGGGTGACAAAAAAGAGGGTGCCTGAGGCCAGAGGCAGACCCGCCCCAGAACACATGCAGAACGGGGACAGCCCCTGGCTCATGGCCCCACTACCAGTTTCTCCTTTTTACCCTACTTCCTGCATTTTTTTTTAAATCAAAATATGCAATTTTTCTCAGTTTTTGTCTTGGTAATGAACTGTCCTATCAGTAAATATGAGGAGAACTCAGGCTATGGAGGCAGTTGGAAAACTGACACCTTCTGCTGAAGAGGCAGACTCCCTGCTGAGTTTCTCTGTGGCCGATGCCTCCAATGGCACCTTGTCCCCAGGTGGAGCATTAGGCCATCAGTCAGAAGAGAGACAGGTAATTCTCTGGCCCTGAATCTGGTTTCCTACAGAGACCACAGAGGCACTCAAAGTTGGAGGCGGGGTGATGGATGGAGGATGACAGCCTTTGAATTATTGAGCAGTTACATAAAACTTCTATCCATTCTTCCTTCCCTCTACCCGGCTAAACTCCCCACCAAAACGACTCAACACAACCCAGGCCATTTGCCTTTAATGTATCTTCCCTGGAGGTTCTTCCCCAGCAGTGACAGAAGCAGAAAGACCTGGAAATGCAGCCGTCACTGGTTCCTGTGAGAACAGGGCCGCATCTGTCAGCACCAGGGACGTGCGGCTCTGATGCACCGGCTCGGAAGCTCTTGCCCACGTGTCCAGGTACTCGGGTTCTGAACCTGACCCTGCCACCCAGCAGCTGTGTCACAGACCTTTGGCAAGTCACTCAAGTTCTCTGAGCTGCTTTCATCCTCTGCAAAGGGGCAGGAGAGGGCAGTGGATGAGATAATGTCTAAATCCTTTCCAGCTCCATCATCCAGTACGTTCAATGAGTTGAGTCTCTCCTGGGTTAGAAGGATCTGGCATGAAAGTCAATCCTCCACCAAATTCCTGTCTCATAGCCAGGACAGTTGCTTTATTCTCATGGGTGTGCGCTCCCCACCTAGAGTCTCTGCCATCTTGCCAGCATATACATGTAAGCTTTTTTCATAAAAGTCTAAGAAAGGATGATCTCTCCTTGAGAGCGACAGCAGTGGTTAGTGATTTGGGGACCCGGTGAGGTCTGGAGTTACCTACACCTCTTCTGTCCACTAAAGGATCCTGCAGTGGGCAAGGCCTTGGCCTCCAGCATCCAGCCCAAAAGGAACTCAGCTCCCTCAACCCTCAGAACAAAGGAAATCCTCAATGCTCTGCCACTGACGGTAGGGACACTTAGGGTTCCCCTTTGAACCTTGATTTCCCCATTTTTCTTCTGGTCACTTTTTCCGTTATTAGAGAGCAATTCATAGTTACTCCCAGACTTTCTGGCTTATTTGACCCTCCCAACCGAGTGAGTGAGACTGACATTCCTGGTTCCAGTTGAGGAAACTAAGTCTGAAAACCGCTAAGGGGCTTGCTGAGGCCACACAGTCTGGCGAAGGCCATGGGTGGAACCTGGGCCGCCCCCGAGTCTGGGGGTCCCTGGCCACGGCCACGCCTGTGCCGCGAGGGACCACGTTCCTGCACATGCCCAGCACCGCGTTTCCAGTCCCCCAGCCCCCAGCCTCTCACCCTCCCACGGGGGCGACTGAGGGACACAGGCACTGGCTCAGCCGAGGGCTCAGAGAACCCCTTGCACACCCACTGGGGCTCCTTCCCCATCAAGTCAGCCACAATGGCCAGAGCCTGGCAGGAGCCTGGCTCTAGGGCCCCCCTCTGCTCTTCCCAGAAGCCCCCGGATTCAGAGACTGGAGACCCCAGTGTTCCAGAGCAAATCCTTTCTCCTTCAGCCACTGGGCTGTTTCCAAGGAGGCCGGGCGCTCACTTTCCCCTTCCCTCCCCGTGGAGGCTGAGATGCCACTTTCTCCCCGACGTGGGCGGTGCCTCCCGCAGACCCCAGGGCTCAAGTGTTTCCAGATAGAGCCTGTGCTCCCCTACCCACCATCCCCTTCAGCACCAGCCTCAGAGCTCCAGCCCAGCCTACAATAGCCATCTCAGCCTAGATGAACCATGAGCCTTTGGCAAGATGACAGATTGGCCTTTATTGTGGGCCCGGGTAAGCCCGGGAGCGGAGCACGCATGCGCCAAGCAGGGGTTGCCAAGCGGGCGGTGACGGGTGTCCGCGGCAGGACCGCGCCTCACTGGTGGCATTTCCTGGGGGAGCACTTGCACTGCATGGCGTTGAGGACCACGTGGTGGATGATGGAGCCGTTGGCGCAGCGCAGGGGCACCTGCATGGGCTCTGTGCGTGTGGGCGCGCAGCAGGCGCACTGGTCCTGCACGTCCTCTGTGTCGATGGAGTACAGGGCTTTGCTGGTGCATCTTCCCTACGGCGGGGCAGAGAGAGGCGGCCGTTGTGGGCGGTGAAGAGTCCCAGGGTGGGGAGGGCTCTGGGGCAGCCCACTTCCTCCACCTGCCCTCCTCCAATCAAGAAGGTCTGGCCTTGCCCGGAGAAACATAGGACAGCCAAACAATGTGTAAAAGTAGCTCTTGGGAGGTCTGAAAGGCCTGTCCTAATGGAACTGTCACACCCAAGCCCCCTAGCTGCAATTTCTATCCTGTGTGATTGATCTTCAGGAAACATAGCTCCCATCTTCCATTAGGTAACTCTCCATTCTCTTCAAAGGACATGTTGAATCATTGCTCAGTTTTTTTCTTCTAGGGTCAAAAGTTCCCATTTACTCCAATAAAACATAGGCTTTTTAAAAAAAATTTAAAAGCTCCCAGTTCCTTTCACTTCTCCCCCCTGTGAATTCCCCAGATCCTTCGACTCTGTAACTAAAGAGACGTGCCCAAACAAAGAACTTGCCCCTCCCAACCTAGGACCCCTTACCTGGCAGTAGTGAATGTCCACTTGCTCTTCAGACAGACAGTCTCCCACTTTGACGTACTGCAGCTTGGCAGTGATGTCCTTGCACTCGGGCTCCTCACCTACAGGACAGGTGAGAGATGGGACCTGTTCTTCCATACAACCCTCTCCAGCCCAGTTCCCTCATTTACTGGAAATAGGTCAATTTCATAGTAACCAGATCACCAAAGCCAGCCATGGGGAGGGCAAGTCAGTGGTCCTGGTTCCCCTCAGCTTCTCCTGGCCCTTCGTATTCAGAGATACAGTTATCACTGGGTTTAACTCACTTAATGGCACAATTTTAATAGCAGGAGGAGACTAGATTCACTGTGCTTTGGTGATGTCAATGGATAGGACTTACTTTTATGTAATTGTAGACTCTAAAAACCATGATGAATCAATAAGGAAACACAAGCTTTAAATGACACATAAAACAAGATGGACTTAATTGATATTTATAGGACATTCCATCCAAAAACAACAGAATGCACTCTCTTCTCAAGTGCTCATGGAACGTTCTCCAGGATAGATCATATCTTGAGTCACAAATCCAGCCTTGGTAAATTTAAGAAAATTGAAATCGTATCAAGTATCTTTTCCAACCACAACGCTATGAGACTAGATACCAATTACAGGAAAAAAAACTGTAAAAAAATACAAACACATGGAGGCTAAACAATACGTTACTAAATAACCAAGAGCTCACTGAAGAAACCAAAGAGGAAATCAAAAAATACCTAGAAACAAATGACGATGAAAACATGATGAACCAAAACCTATGGGATGCAGCAAAAGCAGTTCTAAGAGGGAAGTTTATAGCAATACGATCCTACCTCAAGAAACAAGAAACATCTCAAATAAACAACCTAACCTTACACCTAAAGCAATCAGAAGAGAAAGAGGAGCAACCACCCTCCCCCCCAAAGTTAGCTGAAGGAAAGATCACAAAAATCTGATCAGAGGGCTTCCCTGGTGGCACAGTGGTTAAGAATCCGCCTGCCAATGCAGGGGACATGGGTTCAAGCCCTGGTCTGGGAAGATTCCACATGCCGTGGAGCAACAAAACCCATGCCACAACTACTGAAGCCCGTGCACCTAGAGCCTGTGCTCCATAACAAGAGAAGCCACCGCAATGAGAAGCCTGCGCACCACAATGAAGAGTAGCCCCCGCTCACCACAACTAGAGAAAGCCCACGTGCAGCAACGAAGACCGCACGCAGCCAAAAATTAAAAAAAAAAAAAAAATCAGATCAGAAATAAGTGAAAAAGAAATGAAGGAAACATTAGCAAAGATCAATAAAACTAAAAGCAGGTTCTTTGAGAAGATAAACAAAATTGATAAATTATTAGCCAGACTCATCAAGAAAAAAAGGGAGAAGACTCATATCAACAGAATTAGAAATGAAAAAGGAGAAGTAACAACTGACACTGCAGAAATGCAAAGGATCATGAGAGATGACTACAAGCAACTCTATGCCAATAAAATGGACAACCTGAAAGAAATGGACAAATTCTTAGAAAAGCATAACCTTCGGAGACTGAACCAGGAAGAAACAGAAAATATGAACAGTCACAAGCACTGAAATTGAGATTAAAAATCTTCCAACAGGGCTTCCTTGGTGGCGCAGTGGTTGAGAGTCCGCCTGCCGATGCAGGGGACACGGGTTCATGCCCCAGTCGAAATGGACAAATTCTTAGAAAAGCACAATCTGCCAAGCCTGAACCAGGAAGAAATAGAAAATATCAACAGACCAATTACAAGCATTGAAATTGAGACTGTGATTAAAAATCTTCCAACAAACAAAAGCCCAGGACCAGATGGCTTCACAGGCGAATTCTATCAAACATTTAGAGAAGAGCTGACACCTATCCTTCTCAAACTCTTCCAAAATATAGCAGAGGGAGGAACACTCCCAAACTCATTCTACGAGGCCACCATCACCCTGATTCCAAAACCAGACAAAGATATCACAAAAAAAGGAAACTACAGGCCAATATCACTGATGAACATAGATGCAAAAATCCTCAAGAAAATACTAACAAACAGAATCGAACAGCATATTAAAAGGATCATACACCATGACCAAGTGGGGTTTATCCCAGGAATGCAAGGATTCTTCAATATACTCAAATCAATCAATGTGATGCACCATATTAACAAATCGAAAGATAAAAACCATATGATAATCTCAACAGATGCAGAAAAAGCTTTCGACAAAATTCAACACCCAATTATGATAAAAACTCTCCAGAAGGTAGGCATAGAGGGAACCTACCTCAACATAATAAAGGCCATGTATGACAAACCCTACACACTAGGGTTTGCACTCCTATACACTAACGATGAAAAATCTGAAACAGAAATTAAGGTAGCACTCCCATTTACCACTGCAACAAAAAGAATAAAATATCTAGGAATAAACCTACCTAAGGAGACAAAAGACCTGTATGCAGAAATCTATAAGACATTGATGAAAGAAATTAAAGACGATACAAACAGATGGAGAGATATACCATGTTCTTGGATTGGAAGAATCAACATTGTGAAAATGACTCTACTACCCAAAGCAATCTACAGATTCAATGCAATCCCTATCAAACTACCAATAGCCTTTTTCACAGAACTAGAACAAAAAATTTCACAATTTGTATGGAAACACAAAAGACCCCGAATAGCCAAAGCGATCTTGAGAACGAAAAACGGAGCTGGAGGAATCAGGCTCCCAGACTTCAGACTACACTACAAAGCTACAGTAGTCAAGACAGTATGGCACTGGCACAAAAACAGAAATATAGATCGATGGAACAGAATGGAAAGCCCAGAGATAAACCCATGCACACATGGTCACCTTATCTTTGATAAAGGAGGAAAGAATATACAATGGAGAAAAGACACCCTCTCTTCAATGAGGGGTGCTGGGAAAACCGGACAGCTACATGTAAAAGAATGAATGAAATTAGAACACTTCCTAACACCACACACAAAAATAAACACAAATGGATTAAACACCTAAATGTAAGGCCAGACACTATAAAACTCTTAGAGGAAAACATAGGCAGAACACTCTATGACATAAATCACAGCAAGATCCTTTTTGACTCAGCTCCTGGAGAAATGGAAATAAAAGCAAAAATAAACAACTGGGACCTAATGAAACGTAAAAGCTTTTGCACAACAAAGGAAACCATAAACAAGACAAAAAGACAACTCTCAGAATGGGAGAAAATATTTGCAAAGGAAGCAACTGACAAAGGATTAATCTCCAAAATTTACAAGCAGCTCATGCAGCTCAATAGCAAAAAAACAAACAACCCAATCCAAAAATGGGCAGAAGACCTAAATAGACATTTCACCAAAGAAGATATACAGACTGCCAAGAAGCACATGAAAAGCTGCTCAACATCACTAATTATTAGAGAAATGAAAATCAAAACTACAATGAGGTATCACCTCACACCAGTTAGAATGGGCATCATCAGAAAATCTACCAACAACAAATGCTGGAGAGGGTGTGGAGAAAAGGGAACCCTCTTGCACTGTTGGTGGGAATGTAAATTGATACAGCCACTATGGAGAACAGTATGAAGGTTCCTTAAAAAAGTAAAAATAGAACTACCATATGACCCAGCAATCCCACTACTGGGCATATACCCTGAGAAAACCATAATTCAAAAAGAGTCATGTACCACAGTGCTCATTGCAGCACTATTTACAATAGCCAGGACATGGAAGCAACCTAAGTGTCCATCGACAGATGAATGGATAGAGAAGATGTGGCACATATATATACAATGGAATATTACTCAGCCATAAAAAGAAACAAAGTTGAGTTATTTGTAATGAGGTGGATGGACCTAGAGTCTGTCATACAAAGTGAAGTAAGTCAGAAATAGAAAAACAAATACTGTATGCTAACACATATATAGAGAGAATCTTAAAGAAAGAAAAAAGGTTCTGATGAACACAGGGGCAGGACAGGAATAAAGATGCAGACGTAGAGAATGGACTTGAGGACACGGGGAGCGGGAAGGGTAAGCTGGGACGAAGTGAGAGAGTGGCGTGGACATATATACACTACCAAATGTAAAATAGATAGCTAGTGGGAAGCAGCCGCGTAGCACAGGGAGATCAGCTCGGTGCTTTGTGACCACCTAGAGGGGTGGGATGGGGAGGGTGGGAGGGAGACCCAAGAGGGAGGGGATATGGGGATATATATATATATACATAGAGCTGATTCACTTTGTTATACAGTAGAAACTAACACAACATTGTAAAGCAACTGTATTCCAAAAAAGATGTTAAAAATAATAAAATAAAAACCATAATGATCAGAGCAATCCTCCTGCGCTTATAACAATATCCAGAAGCTAATGGGCAATGAGATAGCTAACAAATACAATTAATATCTATCCATCCCTGCAAATGTCATTGTCTCTGTGGGAGCTGATCGTAGGAGCCCTTATGGAATCTTCCCTTTGGGTATAGCTACCTCTGGGTCGCTAGCATGGGTCTCCTTATATACAGGGGTTAAAAGCATTCAGATCTGAACCTCTACTTGGCCCACTGATAATCTAAGATTTAATGCCAGCTCATTACTGCCCATCCAAACACTGGGAGTTTTCCACTCCTGGATGGCTCCAAATCTAAATCAACTTTAACTACCGAATAGTTGCGTTCCCAACTCCCAAATAATGTCATTTTAAAGTGAAAGCCTGCCAACCACATTAAGAGGGTGAATAAGGAAAACATATTGAGGCCAACACACTATATTCTTTTGCTGTAGATTTAAATCCCTGAGCCTGGCTTCTTTTCCTTATGGAAGGTCTCCACCTCTTGAAAGCACAGACCAACACAGGCCCCTTTTTGCCTCGCTGCTAGTTTTGAAGATAACAGCCTCGGCCCAATTCCATGTGCAGCACGCCTAGAGAGAATGCATCTCCTCTGATGGTTTCCTGACCACATTCTTCAACCATGCAGACAAGAACCATAGAAAAAGATGCTTTCAGAGTGTGTTTTCCACAATCTGCAACTTGGTTACAGCAACTACAGGGACTGTCAGAGTGGGCCATCAAGAAAAGAAGGAATGACTGAACGCTGAAGATATTCGTGTTTTTACTCTTCCCTTCTCTACTCAAAAATAAACATGGGAACATGGGCCCGTGAACCCAAAAACTAACTAAACTAAAAGACAAAGAATATTAGTCCAGGCAAGTAATTCTACATTCAGAGAATACAGCACTAACACTGGGATTCTGAAAGGTAACTGTGCTCACGGAAACAAGAACGCAAGAACATGTGGTGAGATGCTGTCCGGTGGGCAGGCTTGAGCTCTGTCTCCAAAGCTGCAGCCGTAACTACTGGGACCAACCAGTACAACACAACTGCAAGGTCAAGAGGAGCTGAGAGTGAAGACGACGAGGTTAATGAAACCGAGACCAGCCTCATGAATCCTCGAGAAGGCTGTGTTCACTGCAGCCTCACAGCCAGCTGCTGGCTTCCCTTTCTCTCTGGGAGAGCTGCACAACATCCAAAGATTAGAGGCATACTGAATGTCCGCTCTGTCGAGATCATGAGTCAAGGTGCCCGTCTTCAGGAGTTCTGGCGGCAGAGGGAAGACATTCTCTCATGATAGGACTACTATGACCAACCCAAGGCTCTGCAAGGGGAAAGGCAGGTAAGAGGCTAGTGATTGCCAGGAGTTTGGAAGGAAGGAGGAAGAGTCTGCTTTACAGGCATCTTGAAAGAGGGCTTGAGCAGGGGGCAGTCCAAGGACATGCAGGGTGGGGTGGAAGTTCCCTGCAGAATTGAACACAGTGACTGCAATATCTTTCTAGAAGCAAGTTCATTGCAAAGAACAGTCCCTGGACTTGGCCTGATGGATTTCAAGGGACAAGCTATTGGTAAGGTACTTACATGTGTCACAGCATGTGCCTGGAATTTTCATGATTTTCCCCTAAGAAAACAGCAAAGTCCCAGATTAGACACAAATAGTACATAGTGGACACTTTCAGTCACTCCAGGCCAAGTCCTGCCTCTGGACTCACAGTCCTGAGCTTAAGTCCCCAGATATGAACGGGTTTCCCCATCACAAACGTGAGCAGACTGACCACCCCACCTGGCCAGGCCAAAATGATCCTGATTATTCTGAATTCCCTTCCAGTTGAGTCACCAGGATCATCATTCCCAGGGGAGGCTGGGAATCAGTTTGCTCTCTCACCATCCCATTCAAGGATCACAGATCCAGTCTCCCTTAAGGGAAAGTATTTTCTTAAAGCATGGTACAGTTGAGAGAGTTTTGTCCCTCCATCGGGCTTTGATTTTGTAACTTCGTTGATTTTTAAACTAGGTCAGGGTTCTCCTTGGACACTGGGAATCACGTGTCCAACAGCAGAGCTGGACCGCTGTTCAGAAGAGCCCTCTTCTTAAGAGTCGAAGATGGAGACAGTCAAGAGGAAAGCAGGGCCTTGAGCCCCAGCTACTCACCCCCTCGGCCAGACACTTGTGTCCATCGAAGGGCGGGCAGCCTGTGACCCTCCTCTCCCAGATGAACTCGCCTCTCTTGTTGACCCTGCAGAAGTGACTGTCACAGCCATCCTGGAGAGTCTCGTCGCGCTGAAAGGAAAGAGGGGCGGTGGGCAGAGGAAATCTGAAGACTGTGTTTGGGGCACAAAAACCACTTCAAGCCACGACCTTGACCCCTTGGAGTTGTTGAGACAATGTAGGGGACCTTAGAACAAGACTGAGGCAGTGTGCAAAGCGTCCACACCCAGAACCCAGAACGCAGGTGGAGTCCAGTTTCACAGCTTGTTAACTGGGAATAGAGCTGCATAAATGTAGGGCATCTCTAAACTCTACTGACCACTTAACAGCTTAAAGAATTAAGACATAGCAAAGGGAAACTGGCCAATCAATAGCTGAACTAGAGGTGAGCCAGGTGCCCCCTGCCAGCCCCACCAGCCCACTCTGGCTTTCACATATCCGAGTCTGTGTCACCCTGATTGCCTGGCCATTTCTCATAGACAATCAAGGCTGCAGAAAATCTTACGGATCAACTCACTCCCAATCACGGGGCCACAGAGAGTGACAAAATAACCAAATCCAAGAGAGAATTCTGTACTTGCTAAAGGCTATCCATCTTTCCCTTATGAAATCAGAACTAGGTACAAAAGGAAGAGTCAATATTGACCCAAACTTAGTTCCTCTTCCTTGAAGAAAATATCCCCAAATAGGAAACCAGACGGTGGTCGTAGGGAGACCCCTGAGTTTAAGTTGTCCACACACACCTTCAGCATCATGATCTGTCCCCCTCGTAGCTGAATGGTGCAAGCCATAGGCAGGCATCTCCCGCAGCACTGGCCCTGCATCTTCTCTTCCTTGTAACCCTGTAACCAGGAGACAAAGCAGCCTTAGTTGAAACCTCTCCCTAAGATCCGGATCGAAAGTAGGCCAAATGGTAAATGGTTTCTTTAAGCAGTTGCTCAAACTAGAAATCTGGGGGTCTTCCTTGTCTTCTCTCTTTTTCTTATCCCCCCTGCCCCACTCATCACCAGATCTTGCCAAAAAACTGCATCTTGAGCTCATCCACAGCTTGTCGTGCCAGGGTCCTCTGTCATCACCTGATCCAAGAAATCATCATCCACCGCTGGACCCTGTCACAGTAGTAACTGTCTTCCTACCTCTATTCCTGCCAATCCAGCAGCTTCCCAGAAGATGGATTTCACTGTTTCACAAAAACGCGCCCCCCCCCCAATCTGGGAGACAACATAGGGTGACCGACTTTTTATTCTGCGAGGTATTTTAAACCATGTTAACAAAACCAAAAAGTGATCATCAGCTGTCTCATCACTGCGTTAAAATTAAAGCTCTTTTAACTCTCCCCACCATGCGGGAAAAAAAAAAAAAAAAAAGAACTCAATCTAGTAAAGTTTTTTTTTTTTTCGTTTTGTTTGTTTGTTTGTTTTTTTCAGGCAAGGCTTTATTAGGGTCCTTGCTGCAGCAAGGGGCAGTGAGAACAAGTAACAGGTGCCCATGCTTGTTCAGTCCCAGAACATGGACAAGCTGGCTCCTCATATGGGGTGAAGGTAGGGGTGTTTAAAAGAAAAAATTTAGTTATGTGAAAACCAGCTAAGGTGTCATTCTTTTTTTCATTTTGCTACATTTAGTAATGACCACTTAGAGATTCCTTCCTTGGGGTCCTGAGGTTTTTCTACTATGAATCTCTAGCAGGTCGGTTTGGAGCCCCGGACAGAAGACCTGGTCCTCTCACATTGCTCCCTTGCTCACTGCACTCCGGCTGACAGCTCGTAACCAGCAGGGGAGGTTAGGAGTCTATGAGCGTCCACTGAACTCATCAGGGAAGCCGCAGAGAGAGAGCCCAGGCCACACACACACTCAGAAGGACGCTGCTGACATTTGAGGCCATCAGGTCGTGTTTCACCGGTGAGCTTCAACTGTGTTTTCAAAAACGCACAATTCCTGGCAGGTGTGGACTGAGGTGGATGGGAGAGGAAGAAAGAGATGGGGAAAACAGCACGAATGTATGCGAGCGCTTACAGTCGGAAAGAGGAAATAAAATGAGGCTTAAATCAGGCACGATTTCACGGGAGCGTGGATCGGGGCATTTTTTAGTGAGTGTTAGAAGAAGACACTAGGAAATGCCCTCCACTCAGCAGGCCCAAGAAGAACGTGCCCAAAATCTTTACAGGAGGAGTGAGGGGCGGGGGACAAATGGAGGAGGGGTCTGCAAAGTGAAGGGATGGGGCGGTGGACGCACACTCCACACCCCAGAGAGGCAGAGGGCACGATGAAGCCAAGAACAGGGAAAGGTGGTAGGCGCCGCGGGGGAAGAGGGGCGGGAGAAAGTGGAGGACGGGGGAGGCGAGAGGAGGGGCGATGATTTCAGAGGTGCTGTGGGGCCGCGGGAAGAGGGGCGGGAGGACAGGGAACACAGCAGAAACCACTGGAAGGACGAAGCAGAGAGAAAGACCCCGCAAGGCAAGAACACAGCTGCACTGGTGACGGGCCTGTCTGAGCCCTGCTGGCGGGGTACGTACCGCACAGCTGCCAGACGGACACGGAGGGCAGTGCTGACCAGACTTTTGCCGGAGCATCCAATCAGGAGCAGCCAGGTGCCCAGCCAGCCACAGGCTCACTCACTCAGGTCTGAGCAGCCAACTAGCCCTGCTCCCCCTGTCCAGGGATGCCCCCCAAGCTCTCCTCACAGGTGTCTCCCAGCCCTTTTCATAAACTACATCGGCTGCTCAAGGACCCCAGTCTTATCTCCCCGCTGCCCTTTTCTAACTCTTGCTTAAATGCCAGTCTGTCCCCGTGCCCCCCCCTGGGGGGGGGGGGTCATTGCTCAAGGTCAGCCCATGGTCATGCTCCTCTGGGAGGCCTTCTCAATGTTCCTGGTCAGTGTCACCTCTCTTCCTCAAGCCTTCCTTTGCCTCTACCACCCAGCAGCACAGACCGGCTTCTGGGCTCCTTTTAGGTATAAGCATCGTCTCCCCTGAAGGAGACAGAGGCCCCACGTCTCTGATGATGCTAACAGTTCCATCTGACAGCAGCAGTTCAAACAGACACAGACCGACCTAAACTTGACCCACCACAGCTCCCCACCTGCAGGAGGCCACACGGAGGCCCTTCATGGCAGAGGAACGTGACAAGACCAGGTAAGCTGAGCTAGAATGGGGGCATCTGAGGCAGAGCTCAGCAAAGGCTGAGAGACAGCGGAATTTTGAAGGCGAGGAGGAGGAGTACACAGACCAAAAGGGGCCGTGAATTTAAAAACATTTAGAAACCTAAGTCTAGACTGGATTCTAAAGCTGGATTTCTATGGACGCAGAGGAAGTGGCCGTGCCACCCTCTGACCACCAGAGGGCGCAGGTAGAGAGTTAGTGGGCTCGTCACCCCCACCCCCCCCCAGAACACTCTCCTTCAGGACAGCTTAGTGTGGACCGCTTCCTGCATCCACTGTAGTTCAAGGGATGCCAAAGACTCCAGACAGCATCATTCCATCCCGTATTCAAGCCCAGATGTTGCTAGGGGAGTTATCTCACACACACACACACACACACACACACACACACACCACACACCTGCATCCGAAACCCTAAAACAACTGGGATTTTAAATTTAAAAAAAGCAAAAAGGCATACTTCACTGGCTTCTTTCTAATTGAGGCGGGAATGTTCTGCTTGAGCCATTCCATCAGAAGGAGCTGTGTCTCCTATGGACCCCTTCACTCCCCTTGTAAATATGTTATTAAGCCCCTACTTGGAGCATCACACGGTGCCAAGTGCCGTGAAGGGCACAGGTGCAGAATACTCCCCAACCTCAAGGGCGCTGACCCCACCAGCAGCTTGTCCTAACCTTGTCTCTAACCCCCGCACCGCCCCTCCCCTCTGGCCGCTGGGCCGCTCCTCCCCGACCCCGCCCAGAACCCGCCCGCTGCCCCACCATCTCAAAGAGCAATGACTATATCCTGTGCATCTAGCTCACAAGAGACTCATCTGACCAACCACATTCTCTAAGACAGCAGGAGCCCCAAATGCAGAAGGTTGTTTGCGGAGGAAACCAAGGCGTCCTCCTGAGCGCTGGGTCCAGCTCTGTGAGGTGGGGCTGAGAGTCACGATAAGAATAGTGAAGTGCATGCTTTCCTCTACCCAGCTAGAAATGATGATTCCACTTCCCAGAACCCACCCTCAGAGGTGTTCTGAGCAAACACAGTCATCGTGACCTGGCAGGGTGAACTATTGAAACGCGATGTCCAATAATAAAAGTATATGTTGAGGGCTTCCCTGGTGGCGCAGTGGTTGGGAGTCCGCCTGCTGATGGGGGGGCGCGGGCTCGTGCCCCGGTCTGGGGGGATCCCACGTGCCGCGGAGCGGCTGGGCC